ATATTGATCTCATTATTTTATCTCATATATTAATATTTTATTCATATTAGTTTTATCTTAACTTAAAATATTTTTACTGTGTACTTTTATTATTTTATATTCAATGCAACGGTTGCAGGATGAATCAAGGTTTGCCATGCTGATCATTTCCAACGAAAACAAATAATACTGCAATGCATTGCCAGCTGGAAAACTATTGAAGAAATCAAGCGTTGGAGATACTCTAAGAGCATCTCCAACCGTGAACCCATTTTTGGGTTCTTTGTAGGACCTATTAAGTCACGTCGGCTTGAAGCAACTCAACTACTTTTTCACTCCAATGGTGCAACTCTGAAGAACTCAGATTGGATCTCACAACTTTATTTTATATATTAATATTTTATTCATATTAAATTTTATATTAATTAAAATAATAATTTTAGTGTTTTAAATTAAATTTGATATAAAATAAAAAAAATTAAATTAAACTTATAATTTAAAATGATAATTAAAATTAATCTCAAATACATGATATATAATTAAAAACAATAAAAACAAATAACATCACATAATTAATCAAACTTAAATTTCATCATCTTCATGTCTAAAACGTTCCCAAATATATTCGACTAGATCTCCTTGAAGTTTACGATGAACTTGTTTTTCTTGAATACTTGCTCTTCTTTGTAGTCTTGTTGCAAGATTCGGATGAGGACCGCTAAATGTTTCAGTTGTTGAGTTATTGATATCCACATCATCATAAGAGTAATCAAAATTACCTCCATATGTATGTCGTTTGTCTTCCAGAATCATGTTGTGCAATATGATGCAGGCATATATGGTATGCTTGAGAGTGTCCATGTTCCAGGCACGCGCTGGGCCATGTATAATTGCAAATCGAGATTGAAGCACTCCAAATGCTCGCTCCACATCTTTTCTAGCCGATTCTTGATGTTGAGCAAATAATTTTTTCTTTTCTCCCTGTGGCATTGAAATAGTCTTGACAAATGTAGCCCACTCGGGATATATACCATCTGCTAAATAATACCCCATATTATATGGTGTCTCATTGATTGTATATTGCATATTGGGAGCATGTCCTTCCAAAATATCGTTAAACACGTTGGATTGGTTTAGCACATTAATGTCATTGTTTGAACCTGCAATAAGTCTTGTGATGCCACTGCTTCAAGCATGATTGTGGGCTTACCATGATCACCTCGACAAAATTGTCCTTTCCATGCAACAGGACAATTTTTCCATACCCAATGCATACAATCGATGGAACCCAACATACCTGGAAAGCCACGTGACTCTCCCATTTGTAAAAGATGTTCAACATCAGTGTTGTTAGGCTTCTCAAATACTCAGCGCCAAATACAACATTGACACCCTTAAGAAATCTTTCTAAGCACTCAATTGAAGTGCTTTCACCGATTCGAACATATTCGTCTACAAGGTCAGCAGGAAACCCATACGCCAACATACGAATAGCAGATGTACATTTTTGCAATGGTGCAAGACCCATTTTACCAGTTGCATCGACCCTCATTTGGAAATATTCATCATGATTTCCAAGGGCATCTACAATTCGAAGAAATACATGCCTATACATTCTGAACCTTCTTCGGAATTGAACATCTGTGTATAGTGGGTTTTCTAAGAAGTAGTCATTGAATAATCGATTGTGCCCTTCTTCACGACCTCGATCTACAGTTGTTCTTCTCTTTGGCCTAGAGGAACTTCCGGATCGACGTTCATTCTGAAGTTGTTGTTCTTCATCACTGTCGTCCATAAATTCTTCTTCAACCAACTCCCAAAATTCTTGATCGTAATTATCTGAATTGTCTGAATCCATTTAGTGAGTAAAGAATATGAGAAAAATGAGAAGAATAAGATGAGAATGAGAGAACAATGACATAAGTGGTAGTATATATAATGGTTTGAATAACGGCTAGTTTGAATAATGGCTAGTTTAAATTAAAGTGGTAGTTTGAATAACGGCTAGTTTAAATTAAAGTGGTACTAATGACCATTTTACACAGGTGTTGATAAATTAAAGTGGTACTAATGACCATTTTACATAGGTGTTGATAAATTAAAGTGGTACTAATAACCATTTTACATAAGTGATACTAACTACATTCCATTTTTTTTTCATCTAATTACAATATTTTTCATGAATATCTCGTTGACTATCGTTCATAGTAGAAGTGTCTTTCATCATCATTTGCACTACCCTTAATTCTAGCTCGTCCTCCTTAGCTTGCGCAAGTTTTTCCATTGTTATTGCTCTTTTACTCTTTGCATCTTGCGTTGCATTTGGAATTTCTGATTCCTTACCCTTCCTTTTTGCTGCTTTTTGTCCCATTGGACGCTCCATTGGTGATGATGAGTTAAACTCATAACTTGAAGTTGTATCTGGGTTCTCCGATGATGCCCCACTAGCATAAGTCTTTGTTATTTTTGCAGAACTACCAATTGATTCTTCGACGATGCGCCATTTAGCTTCATCTTTTAACAATCGCCATGCATACTCAAGATTGAATGTTGTACCTTGATCCTGAGCAAAAATAGCATGTGCATCTGCTATGACATCGGTCTCAGATGTCCCACTTTTCTTTCCTTTAAGAGCAATTTTGTAACACCCAACAAATTTTTGAACCATGCCATTTATTCTATGCCATCAACATTTTAAATGTCCCCCTAACTTTTCCCGCAATTGTCCACGATATTGTTTATAACTAGCAGCAATTATTAATCAAAAACTCTCAGCCTTTTGATCAACTCCCACAATTGGATCCTTTGAAACATTGAGCCATGATTTGATAAGTAGTATATCCTCTTCCCTTGTAAATTGCTCTCGGGATCTTTTTTTAACGACAACCTTTTCTTCTTTTTCAGTACCAACTTGAGTAGAAAATGGCGGGACTTGAGTAAAAAATGGTGGAACTTGAGTAGAGAATTCCATACTATTAGAATTCATTTGAGGTATAGGATACATATTTGGATTGTTTGGTGACAGAAGAATATGGCGGGGTTTGTTGGCACCGGTGGAATTTGAGAATTTTGAGGATTAGGATTTTGATGATTTTGCATGTAATTGAGAAAAGTTTGTTAATAATGAAAATAATTAGGATCCATTTGGCCTAAACAATTGTAATTTGAAGTAAAAAGATGAAATTTTGAATTAAATATTTTGTAAATAAAATGCTAATGAGAAAAAATTGTTGGAAAAAATTAAAAGTATAGGAATAAAATGATGAAATTGTGAAAGAGAAATTTCAAATTGAAGAGAAAATAAAAGTGAGAAAAATTTGTGTTGGTAAATTTTTGAAAACCAAAGTTATATTTATAATAAAAAATAAGTTTAAAAAAGTAAAATAAAAAATAAATAGCCTTTGAATGGCTAGTTTCTAAATTAAAAAAATATAAGAAAAAAAAAAAAAGGTTATCGTTGTTTCACATTACACTGCTCTCCATGCTGGTATATGCTTGAAACGAGAAAAAGTGAAAAGATAGGTGTCATGCTGGAAAAAAAAAGTGAAAAGATGGGTGTCATGCTGATAAAGCACCCATCAGTGGAGTGGAGGTGGTCTAAGATGCACAATATTAGATTTTCACGAATTTATATATTGAATTTATTATATATGTTTTCAGAAAGAAAAAAAAACTTCCGTGAGAAAGTTCTTTTTTATGATTCATTAATTAAAATGATGAAAATTAAAAAAAAAAATGTGAGAAATTTTCGCTAAAACAATAGAATCGTAGTGGAGAGAAAAAGTTTCTTATGGTTTATTATTTAAAAGAAGGATAATCAAAAATAAAAATAATTAAAAAATGGCTAAGTAAAAAAGAAATAATAGTTTATAAATTTTTAACAAAAAGGACTAGTTAGTGAAATAATTATTAAAAAAATAAAATTTTATTAATTAAATTAAAAATAACTAATTAATGGGATATAAATAAATATAAAAAATTATAAAAATGAACCGTTAGTGAAATAAATAATAGTAAGTAAATAAATAAATATAAAAAATACTAGTTAATAAAATATATAATATTAAATAAACAAATAAATAAATATAAAAAATGGTACAATTAATCTCAAATAATCTTTTTTCCCCTAAAAAATAGACAATATTTATGAAAATAATACTATATATGTTTTAATTTTTTAAATTAATTTTATTAACGGTTAAAATTTAATATAAAACTTATGAGAGGTTAAGATATAATTCTTCTTTTATAATACATTTTTAACACTAATATTTAGTTTCTAAAAATCTCATCAAACATATACGATTTGATATAGTCTGTAAATTCTTTTATTCTTTTACTAAATCAATATGTCATATATTTTTTAATAGTAAAATGGCCATTTTTAAACATAAATAAACTGCCACACCTTTAAATTATACTCCCACGCCTTATCATATTTTTTAGGAAAATAACCCACTCACTTTATTTACTTTTCCCACACCCACATCATTAAATGATCGTCAAATCCGTTCATATCCTTCTAATCCGTTCCTATCTTTATGCATGCATCAGTTTCAAATTAAATTCCTCTGTGAACCAAAAAAATATGCGACAATTACTACTTTTTTTTTGTTTCAAAATAAAACAAACAAATCATATTCAAAATTTGAATCAAAATAAGATTAATAATAATAACCAAAAAATCACGAGGTATTGCTGTTTTTTAGTACCCGAGGAGTCTTATAAAATCATTGGAAATTGCATTTTTTTTTAATCAAAATCCATTCATCGGTTCTTTCTAACCCTATTTGGAAACGTCCTTTTCATCCAATGTTGCTTCAGATCAACTGAATCATCTTTACCACAGAAAGTGTCATTGTCATCATAGAAACTTTTCTGCAATCACTGCTCAAATATCTCTCAACTTTGAATAAAAAGCAACAAAGAGGTTATTTATTATTATATTTTATGATCGAAAAGAAAATTAAGAATTGATTGTGTTTTTTTAGGGTAATTTGTAACGCCGAGGAAGTGTTATTATGGGAAAAGCTACCAGATGGTTGAAGGGTTTGTTTGGTATGAAGAAGGAGAAAGAACAAAGTGACAAATCAGAGCCATTGAAAGAACGCCGTAACAAGTCAGGGCCATTGTTTGTTGACAAGAAAGAAAAGAAACAATCATGTAAGGATCATCAGAGTCGCAGAACCTATGTTGGTGAAAAAACGAATAATTACAACAAAAAAGCAGTTTTTTCGAGGTCATTGAGCCATGGCAGCAGTAGAGGATCATGGTTTTTTGATAGTAGGGAGTGGTTAGCTGCTCTAATGATTCAATCTTTTTTCAGAGGCTATTTGGTATGTGAATGTCACCAACTTATGTTTTCTAGTTAAGTTCTTGTTAAATTGATTTTAACTTTTAAGGACTTTTTTTTCATCATTTGTTGGATTCAGGCGCGAAAAGCTCATCGAGCACTAAGAGGATTGGTTAAGATACAAGCTCTGGTTAGAGGCTTTCTAGTTAGAAAAAGAGTTGTTGCAACACTTCATAGTATTCAAGCTCTGATGAGAGCTCAAGCTGTTGTCCGTGCACGACGAGCGCGTAGATCATTTGATAAGGAGAATGTTCATCCGTCGCATATCCGAGGACGAAAACATGTGGTAGTTATTTAATTCTTGAATACTTCATTCGAATTCAGAAAACTTTCATCAAAACTTTAGTCTTTATTTATTCTTTTTTGTTATTTTTTCTCATGTAGCCAATGTATGATGAAGCTAGAAATGTACAACATGATGAATGGCTTCACAATTCTGCCTCAAGTAGATTTGATCCAAACCGAGAAACTGTCGCAATTGATCCTCACAGGACTAGTTCAAGATCTTCAATCTCGGAATATAGAGATGATATGCATCATCACTACTATGGAACAACATCGTCCTCTCTTCCTACTTATCTTTCGCATCGAAATTCTGTTCACGAATGCAAACATTCTCAAGATTTTGATTGGTGCTTTGATAATGTTAACGACGAACATAAATTCGTCACTGCTCATTGCACTCCTCGTTTATCAAACTCTTCTCAAGCTAATACCCCGTTGGCGAAGAGTGTTTCTGAAGAGACGGGCTTGTTCTTGCCTTACTCTAATTGTCCTAACTACATGGCTAATACTCATTCGTCTAAGGCAAGAGTGGTAAGGTCTCACAGCGCTCCAAAGCAAAGATCTGAGGTCAAGAGAAGGGTTCCACTTGAGGAAATAATGGCCACAAGAAATAGCACAAGTTCTGTTAGAATGCATTGGTAACTCAATCAATTGGAGAATCAAAAGGAAAGTTTTGAGTGCATAATGATGTAGAGATGTTTTTGTTTATAGTGTTTTTTACTTTAGAATTTCTGTTTCTTGTGCTTTCTTAACACATATAGATATTTGAATATCTATTGGAAAAACTACTAGACTTTATTTCTATTGTGTTTTTTTTTTCTTTTTTCAAATGGTTAGCTCTTTCAATGGATTTGCTTAGTTTCTATTTTGTGTGGGTTTGTTTTACTTCATATGATTGGAAATTTTCAATATATGGAAACTCTTTAAACTCAATCATCTTTTTTTAGACATTGAAAATAAAATTAAATATGTTAATGATAAATTTCTTTGAGGATACTGTTACTTAAATTAAGATATTCTTCATTTTTTCCCTCACATATTGTTAACTAAATAACATACTAGATAACTATGATCTTTTCTGCAAAGTCAGTTTTATACTTCTAAGTTAAGTATGCTTAAATATTCAAAATTCATTATTCTTCAAATATTTATAATGAAATGCTGAAATTTGACACCAAATGTTTCCACTTGAATTGTATTTTATTGATCCTTAATACTGTGAGATGTTGGATCGAACTTTAGGATGATCGAAGTCTGTTTGCGAGTAATGCGTGTTGTAGTCAATATTGCTAAGGTTGTTAGCATGTTGAATTGGGTCTTACTTGTAAGCCTAATTTTTTAAGTTAGCTTGTACCCTAAGTTAACTTGTAATGGGTAATTGTTAAAAAGTCCATTAGGTTAGTGTGTTGTTTTTCTTATAAATAGGATAATAGTTTCTCAATTTTGTCATAAGAAAAAATAAGAAGATAAAATCCTAATTTCAAGAGAAGTTATTTTGTTATTCTTGTATACTTGTAATCTTGTTTAAAGAGAAAGAAAAGAATAACAGTTTAATAACCAATCCTTATTGTTTCCTTCTTTATTAACCATAACCCTTGTGTGTTTCTTGATCATTAAGAAATTGTTTATACTTAGTTTTAAGGTATTCGATTCACAACAAATTGGTGTTGTAACGCCCGTTTTACTTCGATTAAATTCAATTATGACTTTGCTATGTCTCGTTGCGTCGTAGTCGTAGTTGAGTATGTGTTTGGATCGTAGTTGAGTATGTGTTTGGATCGAAGGAAGGAATTGAATCGGTTGAATTGTCGGAAAAATTCTGGTTTTGTCAGAAAACTTCGAAAATTCATATCTCTTGATCCGTAAGTCGGATTTGACCCCCGTTCGAAGCGTTGGAAAGCTAAAAAGATGTTCTATTTGGAAAAAAATGAAATTTTGCTGCTATGACGACCGTCATAGGAGTGTGACGACCGTCACACGAGCGAAAACTGCAGTTATGTAGAATTTGAACGTGTTCTGGTGGAATGAGATTTTGTAGCAAAAATATATTCCCGTAGACTCTTTTACCCTCAATTACATCATTTTTGGGAAAGGAAAGACGGAAAAGAGAAATTACGCATTAAGAGAAGTGGAGAGCGAAGAATCATCCATCGGCGAATTCGGAAGATTTCTGCAGAAAAATCACCGTAGAGCAGAAGCGAAATCGGAAAGCGTGGAATTGGCCTCAATTCTAAGGTAAGGATGGGGTTCAATTCTATAACCGGGAGTATGATCGAATTCATGTGGAAATCGAGTCATAGATATGATTTTCGTTAATCGATAAATATTAAGGAAAAGGTTTCCCCAATGGGACAAGATTTCTATGTAGGAATGAATGTGTTATGTAGTTATTAGTGCGATGCTCTAAGGTTTTCCTTATGGGCAAATACGTAGAACGAATATGCTATACGGTTATTCGTACAACGCTCTAATGGTTTTCCCTAATGGGCCAAAAAGGGCAATTACCTGGTCGTGATTGATTTGTAATTAATTGTGTGAGAAAACGACGTAATGTTGTTATTACGATCATATGCTGAATTCTTAATTGTTGATACGATGTCGTAATGTTCCTTTACATGAATAGTTGGGATGATGAACATATGATGCATATGAAATAGCAATGTTCTGTTATGGACGTTTTGTTGTAGGCTTGATGCCTTGTTGCATAGTCAGTGATGTTGTGGTCCATAATAGAGGTATTTCATGGCATAGCATATTAGCGATGGCCTGTATTGGCGGCCTTGATGGCAAATTGGTACCACATGCATATGCACAGTTGAGTCGCATTGTTGAGTCACATGAAGTTGCATAATTATGTTAGTTGTATATTAATGTTGTTTTACGTGAGATATGGATTGTTGCAGTTGTTGTCGATGATGTTTATGATTTCGAAACTTATAATGTTGTGATGAGTTTCTGGCATGTTTTCTATCATGCTCTATGTTATATTATTGATATCTCACCCTTTTCTGTTGTATGTCACCTCCTCTGGTGGTAATTTGCAGGTAGTCAGGAATAGAGCGTAGTTCCCATTAAGGTGTCGTTGGTCGCTCTGATACGTAGCACTCTCGGGGGGATGGACGATTGTTGTCATTATTTTAGTCGATGTTATTGTTGATTGAACTTGTTACGATGTTTTTATTAAATTGTTTTAAGAGAACATGTTGTATACTTTATCGAACTTCCACCGGAAGTAATGACGGGTTGTTTTATGATTAAATGATTAAGTAATACATTGGTGATTGTTCATCTAATTTCGTGCTACGTATGATAATTGCAAGTTATTGCATAATGATTGTTGTCTATCAGGTTGAAGTGTAACATCTCTGATGTGAGGAATTTTGCCCGCGTGACGACCGTCACAGGCTCATGATGACCGTCATGAAGTCAATGTTTGCGCTGCTGCGCTTTGTTTGCTATATGAATTGTTGTTTTTCCTGTTATCCGCAAGTTTAGATTGGGGTGTTACAGGTGCGGTGAGCGTGGATAGGATGCCTTCAAAAAAACATGAGATTGAAAAGTTCACTGGAGTGAACGACTTCGGTCTGTGGCGCTTGAAGATGAAAGCCCTATTGGTTCAGCAGGGTTGTTTGGAAGCGTTTGATAGACCTGAAATATACTGATTATTCGACTCGATTTGCGCATGTTATTTAGAATTTTATTTCGGTTTTCTTGTATTATGCCTCTGTTTTGTTTCTTTTTCAGGATTTTGTATTTTCAGAGCCACTCGAGAAGAAATGCAGAAAAACGAGCTTAAAGACCAAGCATTTCAGGAATTGTACACATGGCACTCACCATGGCGGGCGCCATAGGGGATGCCACAACTTGGATAAGAGAGCAACTGGTGACAACTGCCACGTCTCCCACTTCTTTCTACCTTATTTCATATGGCGGGCGCCATGAGGGCATGGTGGGCGCCAAACTCGTTTCCCTCCCAAAAGGAGTTGGAGGGCATTCTTGTCCTTACCTGTACTTTCCTAGCACTATAAATAGAAGAGTTATCTCTCATTTCTAATCAGTCAAGCTTAGTTACAGAACTCAAGCCATAAATTTCCATCTATTGTAAAGTGATAAACTTCTCACATCAAGGGGTTATCACATTGTCTAATCGAGTATGTAATCGGGTTTGAAGCACTTTGGTAGAAGTTAATCCTGTCGCCATTTATTTCCAGCTTTTTTTTTACTTCCAGTTGTACCAAGATTTAAAACCTCCCGACTGGAGCAGGTTTCTATTTATTTTCCGCATTTACTTCCCGCACTTTATTTATCGCACTCTTTCTTTATCTCTCTTTATTTACCGCACTTTATTTATTTACTCGCACTTTATTTACCATGCCTATTTACGTTTCCATGTCCGGCTAAAATCTTAACGGGTAGGATGTGAGAATCATAATTAAACAGGTATTCCCTACGACTGTCGATAGAATTACTTAAGGGGTTATTCTGACTTTTAATATATATTTTCTGCACTTAAAATCCGTTGGGTAAGATCGAAATTCGTCCAACCTTAAGATAAATTTGGTTAGTCTTAACTGTTCGAAGGAAGCGAAAGCGCCTAGTCCAGTTAAGTAAGAATCTTTAATGCTTTAGAAAAACGATTTTAAAACTATTTTTGGACGCATTTATGGATTTAAAGTCTGGTTCGCAAGAACCTCTTTTCGTTAGAAATTCCAGGTCAAAATACTTTTCAACTAAGCTAAGAAACTATATTTCTTAAAAATAGGTTTAATCACTCTAACGCATTGCGCACCTTTTTATAAGTGACAATAAGAGGGATCAATTAGGGGATAAACTCTGTTCTGAATATGCAAAAGCGACAATTCCCGTTAAATTAGTTCTTTTCATGAGTAGAAAACATTAAGCCATAAGGCATCCTATCTGTAAGCATTGGAATACCACCTAGTTATGTGAATTGCATCCAAGCCTGTTGTTTTAAATTTGAATTTATTTTTGCACTTTACTTTTATTTCGCACAACTCAACTCCTAATTGACTTACCTTAGATAAACACCATAACAATAACAAACAATGAATTGAAGTTTGGTCTCTGTGGGATCGATAATCTTTTATATTACTCTGACGCTATTCGTGCACTTGCGAAACACAACATCAAGTTTTTGGCGCCGTTGCCGGGGACCAATTACGTCAAAATTTCGTACCCTATTGTTACACTGTATAGACTAAGGTTTTACCTGTCGGTCAATGCGAAGAACTCGCAGCACCGGTAATCTTATAGATCCTTTAGAGGAACCTGAACGTTACACTCGCGCACGTATCTTATTTCATAGAATTAAGAAAGCTATGGACGAAGACCGTAACCAAAGACCCCTTAAGGATTTTGCCTAACCGTCCAATGACGAACCTAGTTCTAGCATTGTGAACCCCAATATCCCTGCTCACAATTTCGAACTAAAACCCTCCCTATTACAATTAGTACAACAGAACCAATTCGCGGGTCTCTCTACCGAGAACCCGAACCAACATTTAAAAACCTTTATTCAATTAGCTAACACTTTTAAAACCAATGGTGCTACCCCTGAGGAGATTTATCTAAGACTATTCCTTTTTTCCCTCATAGACAAAGCCCTTACTTGGTTAGATTCC